CTAGTCATCTTCCTTAAACAATGATCTATTCTGATTTTTCATAAAGATGATAGATAAGTTTGTTTAAATTATATTATCCCATTAATAAATTTTTCTGTAATTGAACTAATCTACATCTGTATATATTAAGATTTATTTATATCATAAAATATGAAAGTAGCAACAATATTATAATATATATATTTTTTTGATATTGTGAATTTAATAGTTATTTAGTGCAATACATAAATAATAAAATTGATGATAATTCTATTCAATTTAATCATTTTATCCTTAGTAACTAACATTATAAGTGCACAAATAATTTTGCACTTTTCATTAATTTTAATGACACACAATTCTAAAATTATTTTTTATATCAGACACCTTTTGTGAAAGTCCAATGAGGGGTTATATAAAAATGGAATTTTTTGATTAATTCATTGTATAGAATAACAATTACCTTTCAGGATATTCGAATTCACAACTTATATTCAACATTTTTTATCTCAATTTATATTATTCAATTAGAACTCAGAATAATTTTTTTATACAACTGTTCTAATTGATAATCAAATACAAAATGATTCACAAATAAAAGATACTGTAATATATAGGTAGATAATGTAAAATTTGAAATTTCAATATTGATTAACAAAACCATTAGGACTGGGGAATATATATTTATATTTCAAATTAAAATATACTAATCTGTCTTTAAGGAATTTAAAATAATTAAATCCTTACTTTATTAAAATCAGATTATCTTATTATTAATTTTCATAATCAAACTTTCCCTTCTATTTGATCTCTAGTTAAATTTAAATAGCTTTTTTATTAATAAGTAGACCAAGTTTATATGATTGAAATTGAAACCATTTGAATTTGTAAATATCTGGTGATATTCCCTTTTGATTTATATTATATTACTAATTCTCACTAAATTTGCAATTTTGATTGAACTATTTGAAAACATAGTTTAGATTTTAGATGATTTTTTAATTTTTTAACAACCTGGAAATAAAACATATAAATAAATTATTTATTAACTGTAAAATAGAAAGCTCATATTGTAAAATTATCCAAAGATAATAGAAAATATTACTATCCTATATCGTTTTGATAAAATCACTTGATTTGCTGAAAGATTGCTGAAAAATCTTAACATATTTCATTAAAATTACATAATACTTACAAAATGTTGAAATTTATTGATTTTTTAAATTCATTTTCAATTAAAATCTTTAATTCACTAACAACACTATCTACTTAAACTATTAAATGAATAAAATAGATCATTTAACTCAATTTTAATAAAGAATAATCAGTTGTGATAATTTTGTTAAATTATAAAATTGAGATATATTATTAAAATGGATATTTAGAGATTCATATTTTGTTCCATCCCAATAAATATAAATTTGGCAATTATTGAGTACTTAATAGAATAAAATATTTAATAGTTCTAAACACTCTAATTTATATGAAGTATAGGCGATTAAATTAAAATTGTGGCTCATCATATTGGTTGAATTTTTTATTTTTGTATAAACTTTAAAGATAATTTCAATTTTTTGATTAAAATTTTGATTTTTCAACTCGAATTCAAATAATTTCCATATCAAAGTTTAATTTGATGTTTTTCTAATTAGTATATAAATCCATTATTTCTTTATAATTATTAATTAATAGAGAATTACTGATAAGTTTCCACTTTTTTTAATTTAATCTACAATTTAGGTCCAATCTTTACATTTAGATTATTTTACATAAATAATAGGTTTTTTGGATTTTGAAAGTTGATTTATTAATTTTTCATCATTAAGTATGTTTAGAATGAGGATGTTAATTCAAATTCATTTACATTTAAAAATTACTAAAATACTCAATATATCAAAGGTTGAATATATGTAGATATAAAATTTAGCTTTTATTCATTAAATTTCTAAATTCATAGGTTTAAAATGTAATTGAACATATTTAAATAATTTCAATAGATCATAAGAAATTAGAATAACATTTATTATAGTAGAAAATGAACATTTACTACTGACTAATGATCAAATTAATCATTTATTATTTAAGTTTCTCTTTTTTTAAAATAAACACTGATTTCTAAACATGAATTACACAAAATGTTACTAATGTAAATCATAAATATTGACGATGGCTTTTAAATATGGCATTTAAGAATACTGTATTTAATTTAATCTAGAAGAGTAAATAAAAAATATGAGACTAAATCTGAATCTCCATTTAAATCTCTGTAAGTTCTGGCTATCTTTAAATTTTAAGCTCTTAACCAACAATTTGATTAAAAGATTTATGCAATATTTCATTTCCAATACCAATAGTTATAGTAATTATATTTTAAAATAACAGATAAAACTTAAGTATTTACATTAAGGATTATAAGTTTAATATTAATGATGTTGAAAATAAAATTAACTTATATTTTATACTTCATGTATAATAATATTCATCATTCTTAATATTTTCTTATTTGCATTTCCTTTAATTCAGACTCCCAAGTGATCAGATACTCTCCATCATCAGTTAATTTTCCAAAACTACTCTAAGAACCAAATTGAATAGATTATTCTAATATAAAATCTCCATTTTCTTTCTTTCTTATTAAATTAATATACATGCCATTCTTACTCACCAGAAGGCATTTTGACTTCAAATATTATTATGGAAATAAATTATCATCTCTAAATGTACCACATTTAACAGCAATTTGTTTAATATTCCTATATTAATTAGTATTTCTATCCATCTCATATATGTGTAAACAGTCTTTACAAAAAGGTTAAAATGCAAATTAATAATCGTTAATAAAACATAATCTTTACC